TAAAAAATAATAGTTATTTTAAGATAAAAATAATATATAATAGTTAAAATAAGATAAAATTTTAAAAGTAATGAGAATTTATAATTTCATGTAAAAGGAGGTTCGCTTAAGTAAAAGAATCCCAGATTAGCATTCATTTACCTATCCTCGCTGCGCGACCCACATTCCCTCCCTTGCGAGGCAAACCCCGATCGCCCCCGATCTCTTTCTCCTCTCAATAGTTTCTGTGTTTCCCGACTCATAGACCGCTTGTCTTCCATTCTCGGGCACGAGATCTTCTCTTCTTCTCTATTTATCCATCCTCTTCTGTTTTCCTTTTGGCGAGAAAGATGTCAGGGAAAGGCGCAAAAGGTCTTATCATGGGCAAAGGTTCAGCCGCCAACAAAGACAAGGACAAGAAGAAACCTGTCTCTCGCTCTTCCCGTGCCGGACTCCAGGTACCTTCTGTTTATTTTGGGTTTTCTTCGCACATGTACATGGGTCTTTGGAATTCGACCCAGTCTCTCTGGGTTTGTGAAAAATTGTTTGTTGGGGCGGATGATTTGAGGTTTTTGAACTTGTTTTGGCGCAAAAAACGAAAGTTAATTGATAAAAAAAATAGGGATTTATTTGTTTGGTCTTTGAGGCATTCAATCTTCTACTATATTATTTACTACTGAATATGAAATTTAGTTGGGTTGCTCTGTTTCTATAGTTAGTAGCTGATTATGTTTTTCTATGATTTGGTAATTTGTTGCAGTCATTCCTTTTGAAAGGTTTAGTAGTTTGATACTTGATATTAAACTGTAATTGGGTTTACTCCTAGTTATAGATGCCAACAGTTCATATGTCTTCTGTCATTGGCAATGGGATTGAAGATCCTTTATGTGGTAGCCAAGGTTTTACGCTTCATGTTCATGTAATTTTTTTTTTTTTTTTGAAGGAATAATAGGCTTCCTCAGTTTTTAATTCTGTAAATGCATCGATTTTTTTAGTTGGTTTTTCAAATTTTTAGTTCAATGATGACTAATTTCATTCTAATATTCTCATATATCTGGATATCTAGTAGATATTGCTGATTCTATTTTTATTGGTCCTCTTGGGGATGTTGTTGCTTGTTCCATGTAGTGCTAAAATATGAATTATGTTTTGGTTTTTAGTTGTTTTAAGAATACATTATACTAGTTGAAAATTTAGTTTCCTTTTCCCTCTGCCATTGATAACCTTTTAGATAGGGAGTATTTATGGTGTTTCTCTTTTCTTCTTTCCCTTACATTCACGAAAAATTCCATCGACTTTTGCATTTTGGTATTTCCTAACATCCAAGCCTTATGGAAAGTCACTGAACTCATGTTCCTAAGGAATTTGGTGTCCTTGGAGCTTATTGTAAAACTGAAGGCATTTTAGTGCTGAAATATGAATTATGTTATTATTTTATTAAAACTGTAGCCAGCCTTTTTGTAGTTTTTTAAAGAACATGTTTGAGCAGTTGACAATTTAGCTCTTTACTGCTATTGTTATTTTTTAAGATAGGAGTAGTGATGGCTTTTCTCATTTTTACTTTCCCTTCTATTCAAGAAATAAACATGGTGCTGAAAATATAAACTAAAGGCAAATTCTATTGATTTTTGCATTTTGGTTGTTCCCAATATCCAAGGCTCTTCATGGAAAGTCAACGCACAATGCACTCGTGTTCCTGAGGAATTCAGTGTCCCTGGACCTTATTGTAAAACCTGAGGCCTATTGCATTCTATTTAACTTCTGTATTAACTTAGGATTGGTGCTGCACTAAGACATATTTAGTTTCTGGTTATACAAGCGGTAACAGACCCAAGACTTTTCATTGTGGTAAACTTTGGTGTATGGACTGCCAGGTCCTCCCAAGTGTATTAATTTGAAATGTTGATAGCTCAGAGATACTTCACTGCGGCTTTCTTTAGTTGTTCAGTCTAATTATCCTGTTTGCTTTGCTTCTCAAAACAATTCTTTTCATTCATTATTATCCATAGGAGAACTTGTGCTTCGTTATCTGTTTTTATCTGTTGCTGTGGTGACTCTGTATAAGTGCTAGTTTATACTCCCTTTGTCCCAAAATAACTATAGTTTTTTGACTTTGAGTTTGTCCCAAATTAATTGTCTTTTTTTCATTTTTTAAGCTAGACATATATTTTTTTTCCTACTTTAACCTCATCATTATCCATTTATTTTAATTAATTATCCTATCACAAAAAGTATTTTTTTATCTTTTAGCTTTTTTCTAAGGGTAATATAGTTAAATACATGAATTGTCTCTAAATCCTTAATTTGGGAAAAAAGTCAAAAAATGACAGTTTAGGACAAAGGGATTAATGAATATTAAAATCTGAATTGGGGTCTTATTATCTAATGGTTTTTTATGATATTGATTTTTAATAGACCAATTTGTGGGTTTAAAAGTTATTCAATGATGATTACTTCCTCCCTTTTTGTAAATCATTATGTCATACATCTTTAGTTCAATGCTGTCTTTTCTTAATTTACCTTTGAACTTTTGTGCACAATGTAGTTCCCAGTGGGTAGGATCCACCGGCTTCTTAAATCAAGGACTACAGCACATGGGAGAGTAGGAGCTACTGCTGCTGTTTATTCTGCTGCCATCCTGGAATATTTGACTGCAGAGGTGTTGGAGTTGGCTGGAAATGCAAGCAAGGATCTCAAGGTGAAACGTATCACTCCCAGACACTTGCAGCTTGCTATCCGGGGTGATGAGGAGCTTGATACCCTGATCAAAGGAACCATTGCCGGTGGTGGTGTGATCCCACACATCCACAAGTCTCTCATCAATAAGTCTTCCAAGGAATAGAATCCCATAGGAATTTTATCCATACATAGTCAAGTCCTCGTCCAAAACTCATCTTCTTAATGCCTCTGAAACTGTAGATTGGGTAGTTGTAGGTCCTGCTTTGAAAGTGGAGTCATGCATTTATGCATTATTTCCACCAGTCATGCATGATTTCCCTGCTACCTACTGGACTTTGTTTTTCTGTTTTTGTGGATATATTGACGTTTATTAACAATCACGGGTTTGCATGGTCACTGTAAGGATGCCTGGTTGATTTATATGACTGGTGTTAGGGTGTCTGATGTATTTATTATTAGATTGGATGCTACTTTAATAGAATCATATATCATTTCGAGAAATATGCGATGAGTGTGGCTATATATTGTCATCTGTTACCGTAATCATCTGCCCTACTTGTTTGATCAAATTTTTAGCTGTTTGCTAAATGCCGTAGCAGAGACCCGAGCTTACTGTGTAGCTAGTGCTAGTAGGTGCCCCAAAGACCTCCACAAGTTTTGAGCTACAATTTCTTGACCGGATAAATGCTACAATAATGTTATAGTTACAATATTATTATTATAAGTTTATTACAATGATAATATGATATTAAATAAGTAAATATATATAATATTATGTATGACACTTAAAAATACTAATTATATAATAACATGTCTTGATTAATACTGTAATTATATCACTTCAATTAAAGTTATTTGGGTTTCATGGCATTGCTTCGAGCAAAGTTCACTTGTAGAGACTCAAATGCACATGCAGGCGTCAGCTCGGCAGAGCATGTTGCACAAGGATTTCTTTTGTTGGAGCATGCTTCAAATCTGTTCCTCAGCTCCACTGATTTGTCACAAATTTTAGCTCTAATGTACAAATATATGTTCAAATTAAGGTTAAGGCCCCAAAATGCAACAGCCTAACATAATGCAAGGTGTCTAAACAAAAAAGAAAACCTCGGTAACGAACCATACAAGGAATTCCCTAGCCTCCATTTCCCTAAATCCTTCTTTATTCATCTTGAGGTTCAAACTTAAGATCTTAATTTAAAAATTCTCAAGTTATTTTCACACCCCGTTAGGCAACTTTGTGACTAACATTTGGCCACCACCAGGCGCTTTTTTTTGTACTACAGAGTATAAAAACTAGGATAAGTAAAAACTGAAGTCTGGGGCAAGTGGTCTCCGCTGCATCATCCAACAGGATGGGTGTGAGTCCAAGTGGGGCTGTTTCCAGAATGGTGCCGCCCCGAGAAGATCCATGAGCTATGTTGGTGAAACTTGCATTTCAAAGCATTAATTAATTTGACCACTGCCACCTTTAAGGCTGCTACACCTTCGCCCGTCTCCTACTATAATTAAGATGCCTTTTCCTCCCACATAAGCCAAGTAGTCACAAATGTCTGATTAATTACCTCTAAGCCCTCTAGATGCTTTAACCAATAACTACCCCTCTGCACCTTCCATTTCAGGGCATCCCACAAACCTTGCCTTTTTTAACCCATTCCTCCATCAACCTTGGCATCTTCACTTCCTTCCACTTGCAGTGATCAGCCCGCTATTTTACCTAAGCCAATCCAACAGTAGTTTGACATGAATTACTCGATTGAAGCCACAGTCAACAGATTATCCTGTCTCCCACTCCTGGAATATTTGAAAGGAAAAGGCCTCCAATCTCTTAGGCAACTCAGCGATTTGTTTGTTCCCTAGGGCATGCATTGGCATCCCTCCTAGAAAGAGCAAACATGGCAAGTACTCTTCCCATGGAACGGGTGATAATCCAGGCTTAGAAGTTAGACCGATGGTTCCAAATGTATCTTATGATGGCCTCCTTAATGGAGGCATTTTAATTTAACCCAACTTTCTTTTGGTTTGTTTTTGTATTTTATGTTTATGTTTAATCTATGAAATTCTTCTTAGAACCAAAAAAAAAAAAAGTTCCCTGTCCATTTTGTGGCAGTGAGAGAATAAGGTGCGATATTTATCTAAGCACAAACATCAATTATTAGATATGACCATGCCCCAGTAGTGTGCATTTAAGACGATGGTGATGATGATGACGACTATGACTACGACTATGCTCCAGCTTTATGATTAATAGCTAAGTATATGCCGAGTTCAAGTATGTTAATTTTTTATGGTGTCGAAAACGAAATAATGTGGTTTTACATACCTTATTGTTTTGAAGTTTGCAATAAGTTTTATGGATCGTGGGTCTTTATACTTGAGTCCTAGATGTCCAGCAATTAAGGTAGATTATGACTCGGGAAGATTGTCTTTAGATGTAGTTCAAAACTTCAAATCTTATTATACTAATATTTAAAAGAATTAAATCTTTTAAATGCATTGTGCGTATTTA